TGTACCGACTCGAGTCTGCCAGAATGCGTTTGATATCTAGGGTTCCATACGACGGCCCGTATTCTAAGGTCGGCCTGACTAGGGAGGTGAAGAGAGCTTTCGTGACATAAGGATCTCTGAATTCTTTAGCCCAACGTTTGCTGAAAGCCAAGGCGCCCTTGGCTCTATTAACACAAGAGTTTACATGGGAGTTGAATTCAAGCTTAGGGTCCATTGTTACGCCTAGATCGATGAAATTAGTTACCTGATCAACACTATGTTCACAACTTTTCACACTTTTTCAAGTTAAGTGACATAGAATTTACTTGAGCGCCAATGAACTTAAATAACTTAACGTCGTCTGCGTACATTAAGCAATACGAATACTTCAAAATATTTGGAAGATCGTTGATGAATAAAAGAAACAGAAGGGGGCCAATGTGGCTACCTTGAGGTTCACCTGACGTCACATGAATTACCCGACATGCACATTTTTTAAAGATAACCCTCTGTTTCCTGCCAATGAAATAAGAAGAAAGCCAGCGCAGCAGGATTGGAGGGAAACCAATTTAATCAAGTTTGTATATTATAGTTGAATGAGATACTTTATCAAATGCCTTGCTGAAATCAGTGTAAATGACGTCAGTTTGATAGTTACTTTTGATTCAGTTGATTTGCCTTTACAAAAGCCGTTTTGCGATACATCGATAAGAGGCGTTATGGAATAAGATAGTTCTTCCGTAACGATTTCTTCAAATACTTTAGGAATGGCACACAGCTTAGCGATTCCCCTATAATTCGCAATATTTGACCTGCTTCCATTTTTATACAGCGGAAGGATATACGACTCCTTCCACAAAGAGGGGAAAAATCCTTGCTTTAGAGAAGCATCGAAGATGTTTTTTAATGGGTTATATAGATAATATGCACAACTTATTAAGACACAGGACCAACATTTCATAATTTAAATCAAAAGACTTTTGGCCTTATTCATAAAAAATAAAGTAGGTTTAAAGAGCTTTATAAATTGACGTTTCCATACATTTTTCAATTTATAAACCTTTTATAAGACTACTTTATTTTTTATGAATAAGTCCATTTAAGTACAGCTCGGTTAATTTTGTATTTAGACCTCTAACATTTTCGTAATAAATAGTGAAGAAAAAATTACTTATAAGCTTTTTATCATGAGGATGGAATTTGAGCAGTATTTTCATTCCGAGCTCGAGGTTTAAACCCAAACTCACGAACTAAAGCATCATTGGGCCAGAATGAACCATCAACAATGTTTTGAAAATGCTCGGCGGAAATATCAATTTTGAAGGAAGATATGCTTCTTTCGTATGAAAAATTAAATTTTCTAATAGCTATGTACCGGGGGCTAAGCTTTGACGTTATATAAGACTTAACATCATTTACCGAAGTTTCACTAGAAAAACGCGAAATAAACACAGATTTATTCGCGGAAACTACGATTAATTCTTTGGGTACCGGAGAAGGTCCACATTGAGATTTAAGTTCAGACGCAGCTGTCGTTTTTCCCGCAGTCCTTGTAGTGACACCTGAGAAGATGCAGCTTGAGATAACTCAACACACGGAAAATTAAAACTTATTAATTCCTTATTTAAGCCAGGAGTAGGCAAAGAATCAGTTGGCGGAGTGTCAATGTCTAAAGCAATGGGATTAGGAACAATGCTGTCGCCTCCATGCTTCCGCTTTTTTCAAGCTTGTTTAAGCTTCGGTGATGGAGAGGATGAAGATTCAATGCACTTAAAGTCTTTAAATTCATCTTCATATCGCTTAAACTTTTCGTTTAGAAGTTTTAGCTCCTTACCCAACCCCTGGAAGCGCTGGGTATGCAGTTACAGTTGCATGGCTATACTCAATCCCGACTCTTGCGTTCTCGTTCGCGCACTCTGGGCAACGTGAGCAACCCATGTGCGAGATGCGGTAACCAATCCGAGTGGAGCCTTGGATCACGGCAGAAAGAGAAGGAGCTTCGGTGGGGCCACTCCGACTTATTCAGTTTAAGGGCTCACTGAAGTCTGCAGCGTCTGTTCACCAGTAGGTGTGGCTGCAAGCGGGTGTCTGCTTGGAGCAAGCGGCTCGCTATATAAACGTGTATTTGGTTGCGAAACCACCCTCGTCCCAGCAATGGGTTGTGCGCTGCGTTTGGGACCCGCCACGTAAAAATCACTTCCAGTGAAGAATCAAGGCAAAGCCTCGGATGAGACCAGCACCGCCCCCCCCCCCCCCCCCCCCCCCCCCCCCCCC